TGTAGCCTGGATCTGGATTCAAATAATGTTTCTCAAATTTAGGTATGTTAAACTACGCCGTGTGTAAAATAAGCATCTCACGCTTAATTATTACAGCGCTATTGCAGCGCGCTTTTTCATCAGGCGGTCGCCACAATCGTTATTAAGGTCAATCAAACTTTCAAACCACCAACCACAACCTGTTCATGACACTATCCTCAACTTTCTTCGACGGAAGATAATACCTAAAGATTTCGCCACGCTACTGTATTTTGTCTAACAACCTCACCACACGGGAATGATAAATTGAAGTAAGTAGAGCTTTCTACGCAAAAATTCAGTTATTTTTATTTTAATCTAATGTTAGAACAAAATATAAAGCAGAGGAAGTGGTGAGCCAAAAAGTGTCAAATTACAGTTTTTCCTGTTTGTACTCTAAACCATTGAAAAGAGTCGGAATTGTGAACTTTCAGTTCCGTCTTCTAACATCGTCACTTCACTTCCTTATCCATTCAGCATCCGTGAATGCTGCCATAGGTGCTTCTGTTGCTGTTTCCGTAAGTCACAAAGATCGCAAGAGAGGAACAATCAATCTGCTAAGGCCATCAAGCAGGTTTTGGCGAATCAATACAGATCACTTGGGCCTATGTCGTAAGATTCAGTGACTTTTCTTATAAAAAGTTAACGCACGTATGCACTTATGTAGTTTGACTTGTATAACACTGCGAATAAGCTGAGAAATATTTCGTATTATCGATCTAATTATCTTACCTAAATTTGACGCACAAAATGTACATCTTAAGCTGACAACAGCTCTGTGAATGCATGTATTGTTAACACAGTCAAAGACAGCCAGCATGGTTTAAGAGTTGAAGCTATATAGTGTGCAAATGATTACAATCTGTAACATACAATTTTAAAACACTGGTTGTCCTTGCAATCTGATTGGCTGTCATCGGTGCGATTTATTTCCGAATTGCATCTCTTAGAGCAAAGCAATTTTACACAAGAAATCAGTAAAAAAGATTCTGTCCACGGAGTAAAGGACTCAAAGTCATCACTGAAGAATATTTTTCATGTTTTATACTGGCAGAATTTTTTCCCAGAGGACTAAAGAAACTCTCCACCTTTGTTTCCAGGTTTGCCGAGAAAGCCGTGCTCGGTCATTTTATTTTGTTAGCTTTATTGTGGCTGTTTCGTGATCCGAAATTTATGAAAGGATGGGCCATTTTATTCAAGAAAGAGTAAGTATCTTTTATGCAATGCTAATTCCTCTGTTAAAAATGTAAGCGGCATTGGAGGTCTTACATCTGTGTTTTTCTTCAATTTTGATTCAGTGTTATAAAATATCAGTTTTTTTGACAAACATGGAAAAAGGGTTTGGGAGTCACACGCCCTTTCCACTTTTTATGAAGAAGTTAACGGCTATCGTTCTGCTTTATTTTTCAGTTACGTCCGTGACGCCACTGTGGCCATTTTTATCTCTTTCTCTTTGTTCGTATTTCCCTCTCAGAGGCCGGTGTTTTTTGCCCCCGATCGATCAGGTGAGCTTTTGTCCTACTCCTCACATTTATAAGCTTGGCTTAAAAGCAACTGCTTTATATTTTAGATGTGTTTAAGACGTTCTGTGCTTTGTGTCTAGTTGTGAAATGCCTTTGCTTTAATTGATGTTTTTTTTAGTCGTTAAATTTGTAAAATTTGCCATAAGCCCTTGGTAAACACTACTTTTCTTGCTTAGTCAATAAACCGCCACCCGGACTTCTAAATTTCAAGGAGATGTCGAGGAAGTTTCCATGGAATATCGTCATTTTGCTCGGCAGCGGGTTCGCCCTTGCAGACGCTTGTAAGGTAAGGTTTTTATAGCAATAAATCTGAAGGAGTTCATAGCTCAGTAGACATAAGAAAACCTATTTTCCTTCAGCACTTAAATTTACTTCAATTGTGACTCTCTTACAAGGTGTCTGGTTTATCCAAGTGGGTTGGTTCCCAGCTGGCACATCTCAACACCATTCCAGACTATGCAATTGTCATTATCGTGTGTGTAATGATCACCACATTCACGGAAGTGACCTCGAACACTGCAACGGCGACCATCTTTCTTCCCATTCTAGCTTCGTTGGTAAGTTCTGTGAAAGTGTGTTTGGATTTACAGCCCACAGGAAAGACTGAAATAATCATTTAATCTACACAAACATAAACATAAAAGTTGTGTATGAGCCACAGTGACTTCATGACCCTGAAAAGTTTTGTTTCAATTCGCAGGGAGAAGAAATTGGTGTTCATCCCTGGTACCTTATGCTTCCTGCTGCCATTTCTTGCTCGTTCGCTTTCATGTTGCCGGTTGCTACACCTCCAAATGCCATCGTATTTTCTGGCGGACATCTTAAAGTAAAAGATATGGTATGTGTGTTTTGCTTCAAAAGATCGGGGTTGTTCTAAAACAAGAATGGGCGCAGGAAAATACCAAATTGTGCCTGGAAATTCACAAAGTGCATGCTGCCTTATACCATCAGAAATTTATGCACATTTCAGCACATGACCCAAAATCATAGATGATGTTCAGGTTTGGTGAATACCAGAGAGATGACAATTACCTTAAAGTTTCGGCTGTTTGACGCCTCAAGCTACAACACCTTTACAGTAGTCTTTCCAGCTTCTTTCATAGCGTTGAGTAGGAGTAAAAGTTAATAATATTCCTTTTTGTGTGTAATCAGACTGATTGTTTCTTCCCATTGTAATGTCCACTTAATCTTCTACTCAACAATTAACATTCGTGCGTTCTCTTAGGCGAAGGCTGGCTTTGGTATGAACATCCTCGCTGTCACAGTACTGGTAATTTGCATACATGTTTACGGAGTTCCAATGTTTAATCTAAGTACTTTTCCAAGCTGGGCTGGAGGTAAAAGTGCACTGAGTACCACTGCAACACCGACTGTTGGTTACAATCAGACGGCTTTATGCCAGAATTTCACTTCTTCCTAAGATGACTGGTAATTTGTACAACGATATATGCATAAATGAACTCGAAATTTGCCCGTAATCGCTCACTCTCGTTCCCAGAGTCCTCGTTTCTTTAGTTACGTAAAAAAGCGAGTGGCCGCGGGGATGAATGGTAAACAGTGACAGTAAATTTCCTCGTCATGAGGGCCTTTCCGGGGGGAGGGGAGAGTCAGGTTTCTTTGTTCCCAGAAATTTTCTAGTATGTCAATCCTTTTTATGGTTAATTTATTGAACAAAATTGATTTCACAGGAGGGGGCTCTGAGCTAAATCCCCCAGTTTCCAGAAGTTAAAGGTTCCGTGTTTCCTTGACCTCGGGAACTTTTCAAGAATGATCAATATGTATTTGTTCATTCAATCATATATGTCTATAAATGTGACTTCAGCTAGGAGAGGCATAACTTAAGCCGGAAAGCCCTAAAGTTATCCTTACCGTTACATTCTATAGTAATATTTTCATTTTTTTCTACAATTGAATGATCTTGTTCTTTCATTTCCCAAACCCCAGGAAGGCCCTCCTCATAAATCCATGGTGACGCATTTATCATTGATTTTTGGGTGTCCATTACATTTTTTTCAATGGAAGGGTGCAATTTTTCTTTATGTGATATTTTGGCGCTAGAAATATCGCACTTACTCCTGGGTCAAGATACATACTGAGCTGTTAACGCGCATAAATGTTGCGACAATTTACTATAAACTTTTTCTCTTCAATTTTAATCTAATGGTCCTGATATATCGATTGTGTACAGAAATGTCGACCAAAATGAGTTGAGTATTTCCAAAGAGGTTATACTTTCACGTTTAGTCTAAATTGCTCGTGATTATTTTTGAAACATGTACACAAGTGAACAATTAGTCTTAAAATGTAAATAAATGATTTTTCTCAAAATGGAAAAGCTTTTGGAACACAACACTGAAGTCGTTTCCGTCAAATGTAAAGCGTGATTTGTAACGGCACATCTTTAGGACTCTATATACAGAATTTGTATGCGCTAGATGTGATAATAAAGTCTTTTTTAAGTCTCACGAGTCATGTGTTATTGCTCGACTCCGCAGAAGCATTCAATTTTGTCAATCTACCAAATGTTCTCTTCCAGCATTCGTGAAGAAATGGCGTCCCTACACCAAGTGGAGATTATTGTCGTAGTGAACACTACTAGACAGCCTTACGCAATCACAATTGCGTTGAATTTAAATATTCGAATTTCGAGTAACTCTTGATGTTTTTCACTGAGTCTAACAACAACGAGAGTGGGTCGGAACAGAAGATTTACTACCAGAACAATGACTGCATGTATTCTTAAAAACTGCCTATTGAACAGCCGTTCTTTGCAAAGTAAGAGCGTAAAATTACCCGACGATGACGGCAACGATTACAGAACCATGGACCATACAAAAGTAAGGGAAAAGGGCACGTCCTTTTAAACAGTTGCTGCCCACGTTTGCATGAAATCTGTTGGAGTAGTTAGAGAGGAAGTTAAGGTGCAGTAAATTCTCAAAGGTTTGAGTCAACCTAAACATGGGTATATTTGTTCCTTCTCTGGAACGAAAATGTTTTCGCTTATGATTCGTTAATTTAGATAGGAGAGAGAAACATGGCATTTTGGAAACAGGAGGCGAGTGTGCTTCAGGGCTTTTTCCTGTTATGTGCTGGTTAAGTTCGAAATTCCACAAAAATTCATGCTGTGCATAGGCTGTGATGCGTGAGCTGTTCCGTAAGACGGGAAAGCGTGACGTTATAACCAAACGTAGCAACGATGGGATTTGACCTATGTATGTTTTTAGAATCGCACACAATTGTTGTCTAAAAAAGAAGAATACCACAGATGCTATGTTTGGCTTAGTCAGTACACTTCTCCAATTGGGATCTAAGGAAATTGAGGCAAATATCAGAATGAAATTGTATAACAATGTCAAACTGAGGTTCTAACCACCCAAATTACTCACTTCGTGCTGTGTTAACCTTAACATTAAGAATTTTTTCTGATCTTACCGGTTATACTGCAGATTGTAGAGAAAGATGAGTGAATCTGACGGAAGACCTGGAGGCTATAGTAATCTCCAAGAGGCAGAGACAAAACCGTTTACTGAGGAGTCGGATCGTCCTAACGAAAACTGTAAAGAACCGGTTAAAGCGAAACGCGTTCCATTTCTAAAACGAATTCTAGCATGGAGGAAATACATAATACTGATCATGACGCCGATACTACTGATGCCTTTACCCATCGCTGTGAGAGGAACGGTGAGATATGCCTTTGTGGTAATAGACTTCTCTTAGGGTTGCGGTGGGTTTTCATTTGATTACTATACATTGGTCATCATAAAAGAGCAATTAACGGAATTGTAAAACGAGGGGTATTAAGGGGCTTAATCTCACATATTTTTGAGACCTGGATGGCTGTCAGAAGTGGAGTGTTTAATCCCAAGTTCCCGTTTTTTATTTTTTTGTCTGGAAAAGCTAGGGCTTTCCAGTTGATTTATTGATGTTGAAGCACGCCAGAAGCATCATGTGCTCATTCCCCTTCAGCCTCCTTCCTTACACAAGTTCCATATCAACATATCCTCAAGGAAGGAGAGTAGGTTCGTGCAAAAAGCGACAATAGTCATTTGCACCTGCGTTTGACTCTCCCAACCAGCCCTCCCTTCTCAACCATAACCAGTAAGAGAGACAACTTTTAATCTTTAAGGCAAAAACTCTTCGCAGGGATAAACAAGAACGCAAGATTCTTTGAGAAAACAGTTCTATCGATTGACTGCACGGTTGATTGATTGTGAGCGACAGTTGCACCTTCGTTACACTGATTAAATCGTATAATAAGCGACATCTCGAGACATAGGTCTTGACAACTGATCAAGACTGTTTGAAAAGGAATTATTTAATTGTAAGATACTAGATGATGTGATGATTACCAGTTGACTTGAAGGAGAAGAATGGCCTGCACGGCTTTTTTTCCTTGTCATTTAACAGTTTAAATCTAAAAATTGTGCTATTTACTGCATTTCAACTAACAACTGCTGCTCTAGTTCCCGCACAAAAAAAATCGTTATTTGGATCAGAGCTACCTTTTCGTGTAACTCTTAATTGTTCAAAGAGATTGCTAAGAGATGAAAAAAAATAAATAAATAAAGCAAGAACCAGTCGCTAGTAAGAAGCGGGGCTGACGGGCAAAATTAAAAATTACGGAGTTCAACACGTGAAAAGACATCGTTCAGGTTACCCTTTGGAATCTCAAAACGCGATCAGTGTCATAGTTTCATAAATTCCTTTGAGTATAAGGATCAATTTCAGTCAGTCCTACCCCTTCCCGTATGCAAAACCGTGTAAACCGATAAATTGTCGTATCCCAGCTAGTTATCAAAACCCTAATCAATCCGACGCAGTGGTGACAAGTGCAGCACATAGAGGTTTTGCTGTTTTGCGAGATCAGATAACTGCCGAACTCAGATCGAAGTGAAACCGGAACCCAAATAAGAAAAACCGAAAACTACATCGGATACCAAATCCGAAAACCCATTAAAATTTTTGATGGAAATTGAAAAACCAACTGTTAAAAAACGGAAAATCCGTCACACACAATAAACGCCAAAACCGAAAAACAAAAGTTTTCTGACACAAAAAACCGAAAAACCGATCTAAGAAATAGCCAATAACGCAAAACCGAAAAACCCAATGCCCCCTCTTGCTCTGATATTGACATTGATCCAAGGATTACATCTTTCGGAACATACTTCCCTTTTAAAAAATGTTTTCATTGCACCAGGAGTCCCGCTGTGCGTACTGTATCCTGATCATGGCGGTGTACTGGGTGACAGAGGTTGTGAAGTTGGCCGTCACAGCTCTTCTCCCATTGGTTCTTTTCCCCCTATTTGGAGTCCTGGGCTCTAAAAAAGTCTCCACTCCTTACTTCAAAGACACAAATGTTCTATTTTTCGGCGGCCTAATCGTAGCTGTGGCTGTTGAACAGTGGAACTTGCACAAGCGGATCGCTCTTCGTGTTCTCTTGCTGGTCGGAGCTCAGCCACGACGGTTAGTCAGTTATGACGGGACGGGAAGGAAGGGGTGGCTAGGGTGTGGTCAGGAGGGAACACTCATTGCTGAAAGGATCCGAAGGAATCATTGACCCCTTCATACGCAGAACTGTAGTATTTTGGTACATCAATCTGATGTAGTTTTCGATTCCATTATTTACCGTCCCTAGAATGTTCGGGTGAAATAGAGAAGTCACCATTTTGTACTCTAAACATAGATGTGAAGATTCAAATCGTTAAAAAAGCAGAAACTTAAAACACAAGCGTTTTACTTTGACCATGATCAAAACTAAGGGTTTGAATGTGTTAGAGTCTCAGCACTAATGCCAAACAACTGTCCTACGATAATTAAGATAAGAATGTAATTCAGCTTTAACATGCTATCGCTCGTTGTTTTTAGTCAGAGCGAAAAGCGGAAGTGAACAGCCGAGAAGGGCTATGACGGGTGAAACATCTGACAGACTACCAGCCCTTCGTCGCTTTCCGCGTTGTCTAAAAGGGCATCCAATGTATACCCCGTTAGGTCAAGTGCGCTTTATTTATCACAAAAATAAAGAGCGGGCCCCGCTTAGAGCAGAGATTGGTGATTGACGTTGTTGTGGTCTATTAGCCACATGCGTATTGTTATAAAACCTAGAGTTACTTTTAATGCTGCTTCAAATCCGATATCAAACGAAACCTGAAGGAAGCCCATTACAATCGTTAAAGAAGCAATCAAATGAATTCCTGGTAATATTCCAGAAGTATCAGTTAAAGAAATCATTAAAGAATTGCTTTTAAATTTCTTCACAAGTTAATGCTTGGTGTTATGCTAACCACGTCATTTCTGTCCATGTGGATCAGCAACACAGCTACCACTACCATGATGGTACCGATTGTCGAAGCAGTGTTGGGAGAAATAAAAAACGAAAATATAAAAATTCGGCCAGGGAATAACAGCATTGACAACGAACAGGAAAATGACGTAAGTTTTTAGAAGAAAGTTAAGTAGCTGAGTCAGTTTGTTTGTCAGAAGTCATAGAGTAAGTGAGTCAGTTAGTCTGTCAGTCAGTCAGTCAGTCAGTAAGTCAGTCAGTAAGTCAGTCAGTAAGTCAGTCAGACAATCAGTCAGTCAGTCAGTCAGCTTGTATGTTAGTCAGTCAGTCAGTTGATCATGTAGTCAGCGAGTCAGTGATTCTACTAGCTGATCAATCAGTGAGTCGTTGGGTCAGCCCATCTGTCCATCTTTCTGCTACTTTTTGTCTTTCTGTCTGTTCGTCAATCACCTCTACAGACAGACAGACAGTCATTCATTCAGTCAGTCGGTAAGTCTGTCAGTCTGCCAGTCTGTCAGTAATCAGGTGCTAGTGGTTCGATTATATCCGATCCTGATCAGTTGTTCACTCATTTAGTCACTTGGCCTCTAACGTGAGGTATTTTTGTTTACCTTGTGTTCAAACTGATCTTAATTTATACTATTATTGTGAGTTAACTTTTCCTGATTACCGGATTGAACATATCCTACCACAGAATGCTTCCTTGGAACTTAGCGACAGGAGCAAAGTCAAAGAAGAAGACTATGCGGTCGGAGTCCAGGAACATAAAATAACAAAAGAATTGGGCGAAGATGAAACTGACCTCTGTGCTAAGAGAGAAGACAGGTAGAATTGCTGGTACCAAAACTTTGCTTCCCGAGGAATTAAATTTGACCCACGACTGATGGAAAAAACCCTTTTCTTAAAAAAATAATGATTGTATTCTTTACTCCCTACATCGAATGGAAATGGATGGTGTCCTTCAGATACTTTTTAATTACTGAAATAAAAACGCTTTCCGTCATTAAATTTATCAGTTGAATTGGTTTTTCATCTCTTATCTGTGCTTAACTGGAATTTTTTTTCTTATTTTTCAACATTTTAGAATGGCTGCTGTAAACTTATTGGAAGGAGACGAGGAAGCTAACGTGAGTTTTGCAGCCGGCAAGAAAATTAATTTGTAATTGTAAATTTTAGTTACGGTTATAAGAGGGTTCAGATAACATTCTGGTCCTCTGGATGCTCAATACAGCAGTAGCAACAACAAGAACAACACATTCATTTAGATACGATTTTATCTCGGTGCACAAACCCTAGACTGTATACACCTTCCCCCCCCCCCCCCCCCCCCCCCCCCACTGTCAAAAAGTTGGGAGGGTGTCAGTTCCCATGGGGACCATAGCCAATGGATGTAGTTGGCTACTATTATTGAAAAGCAAATCTAAATGAGTATTCGTTTTTTATAGAACTACAAACTATTATACTATTTCATCTGCAGGAAGCAGAAACTCAATACTTCAACAGACTCTGCAAGGCAATGATGTTAGCTGTGGCTTACGCTGCAAACATTGGTGGTACAGCCACCCTGACGGGCACTGGTCCAAATCTGGTGTTTGGTGGACAGGCAGGCCTGTAAGTGAATTAAAAAAGCAAAAAAGAAATAAGCAGACAAAAATGAACTTAGTGTATGACTTAGCTCGCCGACCACACCGTTAATTATTTATTACGGCGAATCAAATCGAATCCTCTCCTGAAAACAAACAAGAAGAACAAACAAGAAGAACAAACAAACTTAAAGACAAACACTGAATAGATTCCCACAACCCAATTCTCCCTTTAAAGATTCCCACAATCCAGTTCTTCCTATACAGGTTCCCACAATCTTCTTCTTCCCATCCAGGTTCACACCGTCCTCTTTTTTCTATACAGGTTCCCATAATCCTCTTCTTCCCATGAGGTTCCCACAATCCTCCCCTTCCTATACAGGTTCATATAACTTATGGTTAACAACCTTTTTCTTATTTCAGTCTTTTTCCGAAAAGCGGAGGATTTAGCTTTGCCTCATGGTTCGGTTATGCTTTCCCTCAAATGGTGATTCTTCTGTTTGTGGCCTGGATCTGGATTCAGTTACTGTTCCTTGGTTTTAAGTATGCTCGAATAAACAGTTTTTAAACCCATTTTCATCGATAGCTGTAAGATTAGGCCAAAAGACAAAGCTAAAATTAAAAGAAGATAATGAGAACTCGTGTCAAATTTACGTTAGTGGCCTCAAAAAGCCACGGACATGCTTGTGACCAGGAATTGCGTTTGACGGGTAGTCATTGGGGCGCGACTCTGTTAGACCTAACAAGAAAAGAGAGAACAAAACCAACGCAATCTCGGATGTTGTCCCGGATTGTGTCGTAAAATTTGGGATCAGTGTCACACACTGAGCAAAAACGCACCTACCCCTCCCCTGACCCAACAAC